CCTTGTTATCTCAGATTCTCCAGTTCTCCATCTGCAGTTCCTACTATCTCTAACTACAAGTATCCAGGGTCAAACCCCACACTAGGTTTGTGAAGAATGCAAAATCTATGCCGCCTCTCCAGTGTACTCCATCTGGGAGTGATGATCACCAACAATCTATCCTGGTCCATCCAAGTCGACACCACTGTCAAGAAAGCACAGCAATATCTCTGTTTCCTCAGAAAGCTAAGGAAATTCGACATGTCCGCAATGACTCTTACCAAATTTTATAGATGCACCATAGAAAGCATCCTATTTGGATGCATCACAGCGTGGTAAGGCAACTGCTCTGCCCAAGACCAGAAGAAACTACAGAGGATCGTGAAAACAGCCCAGTCCATCATGCAAGCCAGTCTTCCATCCATTGACTTCACCTATATTTTCTGCTACCTCAGGAAAGTGACCAACATAATGAATTACCTCTTCCACCCTCTTCCATTGGGCAGAAGACTTAAAAGTTTGAATACACATATGCATAGATTCAAAAACTACATCTTCCCTGCTGTTATTGCACTTTTGAGCCGACCTCTCAAATGTTAACGTTGATTTCTCTCTCTGCACCTTCTCTGTGGCTGTAACACTATATTCGACACTCTGTTCTGCTACCCTGATGCACTTTGTATGGTATGTTCTGCCTGTATAGCACACAAAACCACACTTTTCACTATAACTTGGTGCATGTGACAACAATAAATCAATCAATCAAAAAAGTATTGCACTAACAGAGGTGTCATCTTTTGGATGAGATCTTCATCTGAGGTCCCATTCACTTTGCTTGTCTATTTCCATGGCATTATGGCAAATAAGAACCATTGTCTTGGCCAATTTACATCTTTCAATCGACAACACAAAAACTGATTATCTGGATGTGATCAGATTTCCATCTGTAGAAGCTGGCTGGAGACAAATTTGCTCATCCATTTGTGACCAAATGAGAAGGATGATTTGGCTCCTCTCTTTGCAACTTTATCAGTTGGCTGCAAACAAAATTAGACTTTTTTTTTAATGAGCAGTTGTATCACACTTCAATTAAAACATAGATCACTTGTTCAATGTTAAAAAGCTCATTACAAGATGTTCTTGAGTGGAAGAAATAAGATTGTCATTAATTACTCTTCACAAAAAAAATGCAGCATCTGTTGCAAGTATAAAGTTTAAAAAGTGATTGTTCTTACAGACAGGAAAATAAAAAATATATCTTGTTTAAAGTCCTTAGAGTCCTCAAGTCCCTAGAACCTGTAGTGTGATGTCTTTTAACCTGAGACCACAGTTATCCAATTGAAGTCTTGAGTCCTCAGCAGTAGCATAACTGGGAGACTTATTTGAGCAAGCAGTAAATGGATGTTTTTCCAATTTGTTTTGTCATCAGGAGTTGTCTTTCGAAAAGCTGAAAAGAAACAGAGACCAAGAGAGTACTCCAGTTCTGCTGTTACAAATCTATTCTACCCCTTTCAGATCTGTTCAAAAGTAATTGCCTGAAATGCTCGGGATATGTCTATTCTCATGTCTGGCTATATTGTTTTATTTACCCAGTTGTAAAATCTTCATCTCCAGTATGTGAAAAGTATGAAGCAAACGGGTGATACAGATTGGAGTCTCAATGATTTTTATAACAATGTTAATTCCAGATCAGACTGATCCTTGAAAGATCCCAGCTATTAAAAACCATACAACAGGTGTCAGCAATCAGGAGCTCACTTTTACCCCTGTCATAGTGACACAGATGAGACTTCAAACTCACTTCATTTGCTGTAAAGCATCTGGAGGTAATTAAGATATTATACAAATGCAAGTCAGTCTTTCTTTTTGAACTATATGACATAAATTTACAATAAGTCTCTGATAGCCATGTACACTTCAAAAACATTAAAAACAAAAACAAGAAAAACAACTTGTATCATAGAAGGAGGGTATTCACCAGCTGTGCCATTGTTGCTTTCTTTTGTAGGGGCATCCAGTTAGTTACAGTTCTGGAGAAATTTCACTGAACACAAAGTATTAACTCTGATTTCTCTCCACTGATGTAGCCAGGCCTGCTGAGCTTTGCCAGCAGTTTCTGCTTTTATTTCCAAGGTTATTGAATCTGTTTCTGCCATCATTTCCGACAATTATACATTCTATATCATAAAAAGAAAGACTTTGTTGATGGCCATCTCCTCAATCCCTCTCCCACTACCTCCCCAGGTCTTCTGACTATGACCTTAAACCTGTCCTCTTAGGTTCCCGCGTCTTCCACAAGCAGAAACATCGTCTTTCTTTTTACTTATTCATTTGTGGGATGTGGGTGTCGTTGGCTGGGCCAGCATTTATTGTCCATCCCTAGTTACCCCTTGAGAAGGTGGTGGTGAGCTGCCTTCTTGAACCGCTGCAGTCCTCCTGCTGTGGGTTGACCCACAAATGCCATTAGGGAGGGAATTCCAGAACTTTAACCCAGCAAAAGTGAAGGAATGGAGACATACTTCCAAGTCAGGACGGCGGGTGGCTTACCAAACTCTTCATCCAAAATCCATGATCGTTTTGAACACTTTTTGATGAATCTCGCCTCAAGCTCGGCTGCAAAGAATGAACAAAAAAAATAATAACCTCCTTATTTCTCCAGCCACCTGACGATCCTCACTTATAATTAATCTGTTTAGCCTGAATAGTGATGAATACGATTGCGTCTGCAACCTTTAATAACATCCTCTTCAAAGAGCAATTTGTTTTCTATATATATATATAAAAGATAGGCTTACAGTCATCTTTCCCTGGCACTAGATGTCTCTATGGCGCTTCTCAAGCACGTTGCAGAGCAAACAAGCAGCCTGAGGAAGTCAAGTCTCTCGATGCTTGCTTGAGCCCATGTGTTTGTTACTCCGGAGTGACAGGGTTGAGCAGATTTATCGCTTGCTTCACGACCCGGCAGTATACTGCATTACCCTAGAGCAAGGAATGAGGTGGGTGGCGAGGCAGGAATCTGAACGCCAATTTGTGACAAGAGACACCGGTAACTGGGAAAAAGGGTTGGATGGATTCAAAGATGGGGCCGGTGGTGCTGGAATAAGCATCACTGGCAAGACAGAAAGTGGTACAGACAAAAAAAAAATTATGCGAGGGATAAATATTACAAAACAAGAGAGAGACCGAGAGGCGCTTGAAAATTAAATATGGGGCATATTGCAAAGAGAAAGAGAGAGACGCTGAGCAGGAGGAGAGTGGGAGCTTTGCTTGTGCTGAGCTCTAGATATAACTTCAGAGGAAAGCTGCCGCATTTTCTTTGCTGTTGAACCGGCCGCTCGCTGCTGATCCTTTGTGCACCTGTTAGAGACAGGTAGGGGGAGCAGGATCACACGGGAAATTCCAAGCGACCCTACTGCCATGTGCTACTGAAATGACACCATTAATAATTGATGCTATTTCATGGCGTGTTTTTTTTTTCGCTCTCTCTCTCTCTCTCTCTCTCTCTCTGTCTCCCCTCTCTTTCCTCTGTCGGATCCTGGGGAACGTTCCATGCGTGAGAGAGAAAAACCAGTGTAACTCTGGCCTGCAGCCCTTTCAATTATTCAGCTTTCTTTTTTTTTAAAAAAAACCTTTATGTGTTTAAAGCGTCAGATAAACTGGAATGGTTTATGAGCTGTGGTTTGCGGGCACGTTTTGAATACTGGAGAAGAGAGAGAGCAGGTCTCCTGTCAGACAAATGAAAACTGCAGATCTAACAGTCGCGGTGTTCCTACATATACTTTGCGGGTAGGTACAGTCAGAGCCATTATATTGGAGCTGCAGATGTATCAATGTGTTCCTGATCACGTTAAGAGATTGCTTAGAGATGTTGTGAAAAGGGTGGGGAAGGTGGGTGGGGAGGAGGGAGATTTGAAGAGTAATTATTAATTAGCGATTGGGAATCAGATGCATGATCTCACTTGATCTCGAACGTAACTGGATTTGGGAATATTCCCCTCGTCCCCGTCACTTGCAGCGGAATTCAGGCGAAAAAAGAAACCCATTTGAGAAAACAAAGCCCAGAAGGATGTTCTGGTCGCAGGTATCAGCCTTAAGGCTAACCCTTAGCTGGGTGTAAGCAGCTTCCAGCCGCTTGCTGTTGGCCATTATTCAGCCTTTGGGTCTGGGATGGCATCACTGCATTGCATGGTCCAGCTTCGACACCGCCGATGCGCTTCTTTTACAAACTCGGGTTCTCAGAGGGACAGGGAGAGAAGGTAACTCAACTTTGAGAATGCTGTTATCTGGCAGGAACCCGGGCTCACTTGCTGTCGGCTCTTCCAGACCCCGCGCTCCCCACGCCCCC